TTTTTTTTTTTTTTTTTGCTTTAGAAAAAAAAATTCTCTTCTCAACAATTGCTAGTGTTCAATTTCCTTTTTTTGTCAAAGGAAGCGGCTAAATACAGCTGTGTTTTTGAATGGGTGTGCCTAGTTTTTACTGTAACTTTTTAAAAAACATGGTTAATAAACAACAAGTACTTCATATTGAGCCTAATGTTTTCCATTTTAAGCAGATTTTAAACTGTAGGTGAAAATCTTGCCCTAAAAAAATACAATAGGTCCATCTCCAGCCTGTTCTTCCAGCTGAAATTTGTATCATTCCAAATTATTCTCTGGATACTTTGGGTCCAGCTGCAACCAGCGATGACATGTCTGCCTATCTGTCTGCAGCTGAACACAGGAATTTTGTGCACTTGAACTGCTTACTGACCCAAAAATCAGATTATTTACTATATTAATAACGGACCGGTGATGTATGATGACTAATTTACTCATTAGAACTGTTCAGTTGTTGTAGGCTACTTGTGGTAAAGTGGGATGATGACGATGTAAGCATAACAAATCTAAAAAAGGCATAGGCATGTTTGATAAGAATAAGTTTTGCTTTGCACCGTTATGCAGTCTCTTTTTTTTCTGTTTGTGTGTGTATGTTTTTACAGCACAAACTCTGGAAACACCAGTGACCTGTTCCTCATGTCGCCTCACACCCTGGACTCCCTGGACTCCCTGATCCCCAGCGAAGCAGAAGCGAACCAAGGGCATTTGGGTGAGTTGCAATCTCCTCTCACACATCTGTTTTGTTCTGACTGGGTTCTCCTCTCCAGCTTTATTTAATAAATACCATTACAGCAGCATTAATTGCTTGTGTTTTTTCCCCCCTTCTTTTTCTAGATTCAATTACTCTGAACATGGATGTATCATCTCCTATGTGAAAGAAAATATCACCGTCTTTGTTTTGTTTTTTCCTCTTGTTGGGATTTGACCTTGTGTGAGGCTCAACGAATGACTTATTTCTCTCTCTCTGTAAACACTTTCTGCCTGTATAGATTTTCTTGTTTCCTGTGTAAAATTACTCGCCATCAACTTAAAAGATTTGTTTTTATTATTTTAAACTACGGTTTAAAAAAGAACAACAACAAAAAAAACTGCCTATACATTTGGGTCATTCTTTGTGAACATATTGTTTTTAGGCAACAGTTTTCCTTCCTTGTTTTTGTTAAACTATCTAAAAACATGCAAACATAGGGAAATGTAGTTTTTTTGAGAATACTGTCTGTTTATTGACATTTTAACAGTTTTATGGTTTTGTGGATTGGTAGATGTATGACATAAGTTTTTATATAAGCTATATGATGCTTTTAAGTTGTGCTGAAAAATGCTTCTTTTTGTTTTACGTTTTTAAAATGACCTTTCAGTGAGTTGTGGCAAATTGGCTTCTCCTTGGCTACACCAGTTTGTTTGGGGGGTTTTTTCCAACAAAATGAAATATTTCTGACATTTCTTAAGGGGATCTCAGATTTTTATAATGGTAAAGAGAAAAAAAGGACAAAAAAAAAAGTCTGCCAATTGGAGGTTATTTCTGTGAGCTCTTTTTTTTTCTCTTATATTGTGTAAAATGTGTATTTTACGTAGGGCACAGCTTTTCCACTAAAATGCTGTAAGATGTGATCATGTTAATTGGGCTGGCATTTAAAAATCAACATTTTATTTTTGTTGTACTGATCAATCATGAAATGTATCATTTATTACCAATTAAATATGTTTCACACAATGCATATTGTGAGCTGTGTGATCATTTTCTTTCCCCATACATGTCAACTTGGTTATTATTAAAAGAGACAAACTGACTCAGTTCTTTTTTTATTTCTTTGTTTGCTTTTGTGTTGCTAAAATAGGGCCCTTTATTTTCCTGCTGTTTTGATGATCATGCTTAGTGCAGGGATCTTACACATGGATCTTGCAGTAAAAGTAGAACATACTTTTACTATTTTCCAGGCTTTATTTAAATAATAAAGCTCACAAACATGTATGTTTTTGAGGAGTTTTACTACAAAGTCAGATTTTGTTAATTTGCCACATCAAGCCTAATCAGTAATCATTTTAGTAATCGGTATCAGTTTTTGTCTTCCAAACTTTTTGTGTAGTTTTTGATATTTACAAATATGAAATGCAATAACTACAGAGGCTTTTAGCGTTAAAAGTAGGGACAGAAATTTGCCAGCTTGAATCAAGAAAACCAGATGTTTAAGACGTGCAGAATGTCCGGCTGTTTCTCCTTGCAGAGCAGGCGTTCTTTTGCTGACGCACAGTACCGTGGATTGTACTGTGTGTCAGCAAAAGAACGCCATACCCAGAGTAAAACATGGTGTTGGCAGCATCACCCTGTGGTCTTGCTGTTCTTTCGATTAAATTAATTGTCTTGTCATTGTTAAATAAATTCCGAACTTTTTCCAAGTACCAGTTAACCCTGAACCTTCAGCTGAAGGAGAGGAGCACTTTTGTCCGAGTCCGAGTGTGAATTCAGATCACAGCCAAGATAACACACCTGTGCCCCTCCCCCACATGTTTCTGTCCTGCTGTATGTTTGTGTGGTTGTTCTTGAAAGACATTGTATATAGAGATGGTTCCTGTAACAAAACATTTTAAAGTATATTATAGTATATTTATTGGCAGTATATTTGTACTGCCAAACTGTAAAAGTGTTTATTTGATCTTATTTGGTTCTGCATGGCCAAAAGTTCTCTAAGCATATTGATATCTACAGCTGCATAAATAGTTATACTTGACGTATATAAATATTTTAGACTGACCTTCAATTTGGAATAAGCTGCATATTCATTGTACTGAAACTGCTTTACTCCTTGAAACTCTTGCTTCAGGCTACGGCCTCTGAAGATCAAACACACAGTAACCCATATTAATGGCAGCTCATTTCAATCACCTTTGAAATGAGCTGTCACTGTTCTTCCTGCTTTCCCCTTGAGAGTTTCTCTCGAGCTTTGATGATAAATCTCACCCTTTCGGTGGACTTCCCTCACTGGAAACTCCCAGTTGTGTGTGTGCGTGTGTGTGTGTGTGTGTGTAAATGCAGCACCTCTTTATCTGCATCTTTAGCACAGAAATGATGCGATCAGCAGCTTCGGGCCTGGTATACCCATGAGTCCCATTATGAAAACACGAGCACTGAGGTGAAACTGGTAAACAAACAGGAAGTAGTCGGCTGCTCTGCTTTTCTCTGCAGCACCACCTCGCTTCGGCTAATGCGCGTCTTTTTTTGGATATAGGAAGTAAAAATGGACTGCTGCGAGGAGGCGAAGGGAGTGTTGAGATGCACAGCTATTACCGTCAGCAGCTGCTGACTCAGCTGCCTTAGGAAGCAGCAACTGTCACCTTTCAGTTTTGGTCCGCAGCCAATCAAAGTGAAGAATGAGGCTGCAGCTGTGCTGGGGGTTTGTGTGTCTTACAGAGAGAGGATGACTGCCACTGAACAAGATCACTTTTAACTCAGAAGATGATGTAATTTTGATGACTTTTGTTACAGTAGATACAGTCAGCAGAAACAAACTTTTTTTTTTTTTTTTTTTTTTCAAGGCCAGGTCTGGAAAATCTTAAAGAAACTATGTCTGTACCATATGTTGTTGTCACATGCAAGCTAAATCCAAAGTAGTTAAGGTCAACAATATGACCAAATCGACCACCTAAATGTTCTCTCTAATGTTGACAGAAATGCATATTGTATATCAAGATTCCATTTAGAAACTTTATTATCTCAATTTAAAAGGTCTTTTAATTTTTAAGTTTCTTCAACTTTTGGTATTTTTGTGGATTTCTGTCAATGGTACTTTTTAAAAGAGACTTTCTTTTGATTCCTTTTGTTGAGGGTTTTGCTCAGTAAATAAATTTTTAGCTGCATAAAAGGTGGCAGCTTCAAACAAAGCTGAAAATTTAGCTCTGTTGTTTGGGTTACATGTAGTCATGAAAACAATTTGTTGCTATTTCTTTTGATAGATCTCTAAAAATGACTAATAATCGCGCGCAGTTCATTACAAATGAAAAATAAAAAAAATATAAAGGAGCTTCCAAAAAGCTGTGAGTTGAAAATGGCCAACTAATGAAGATCTGCCTGATTCAGTCTACTTGTTTTCAGGTTTCATGCACAGAATGAAAGCAGAATAAAGGATACAAGAATGAAATCACGCTACTAAATTGAACAGACTTGTTTATCCCTTAACAAATATTAGTTGTGGCCTTCTGTCTGCTTCTGTTTTCTGAGTATTGTAGTCCAATTAATTTTGTTCAAAAACTTTATTTTGTATCTTCTGTTTTTAGATTTTCTCTTCTGCTATGCCTGTCTCTAATTTGCCAAAAAAAAAAAATAATAATAATATATTGATTAAAAAAACAAACACAGCTCCAGTTGATTACTCTTCCACCAAGACATTAATTGGTCCCTCTGGGTATTTACTAAAACAAATGAAAACTAATTAAAAACAAAATAATTACATATTAATACATAGAAAGGCAGGAAACACAATTATAAAAGTGGCAATTGCGTTCATTTAACGATTTAGTGATAAACTAAAGGTTAACACCAGGGGGCGCCTCCGTACACTATCTCTCAGGTATGAGAGTTTTGAAAGTAGGCTACTGGATATATTTGTCATTTGTGTCTTTTAGTTTAGTACATTAGAAAATATATCATTATAATTCTTATTTTATTATCATTATTAATATAATTAATTAATTATTTATTTGGTGGTGGTGCACCGTTTAATAACAGCACAAGTTTTACAATTTCACATTTATTGAGCTTAAAATTTTGTAATGTGTTGTATAAGACTTAGCTTAAAAACTACGCTCAAATGAAGCGCCTCAGCACGTCTCAGTTTTATTTCACCGCATTTTAAAAATGTATCCATCTTATAATAAGTGAGCGTTTTATTATGTGCTGACCCTAGGTTAATAACTAACATCAGGCCGCCACTTCTCGAGAGTCAGTCATCAGCGATCCGTAGAAACCGTCAGACGTAGAGGAACCGCCGGAAGTGGGCGGTGTGTCTGACACAGAGAGAGAAACAGAGAGCCGTGAACTGTACGGCGAACTGTTGGGAACTGACTAACGGAGAAATTCCTGCCGGAGGCTGATCACTTCGCTGTAGACTCTCCCCCTCATTTTATGAAAAAGGAAAACAACTTTCGTCGCTCCACAGAGGTGAGTGCTGCTGTTTTTTTCGAGTCCCATTTAAACGCGTCTTCTATGTTTTATCTGAGGAGCAGACAGACGTCCTCGCTTCGTGCCCCTCTCTCTCTCCCTCTCTCTTTTTTTTGACGCTCTTCGTTGCGAAATGATATTCTGACAGCGCTTTGTAAACAAACTGCGGGTGCGACAGCGCTTCTCCATCTGGAGACGCTGCGAAACAGCCTCCGTGCGTGTGGTACGGACTGTGTTTGGGTTTGTTTACGGGGCACTTTTGGTTCTCTGTGCTCGCTGAATCAACAGGCAGGTTCTCCTGAGAGCCGAATCCCACTAATATTCTCACAGGCTGGCGGTGTGGCTGCGCAGCCAGTGAGTTTACTATCACTCTGTCATAGTTGGCACATTTTCTATCACGTTGATAACACTGTAGTCTTTTAAAGAAACGATTCGAAGCTTTTGGGACTATCTTGACATGCTGGTGTAACTGTGCTATGTGTTTATACTTTATTTTTCTAATATTTATCCAAAAGTTTTCATTAACGGACAAGCCTTCCCCCCCCACTCCCCCCCTCACCCAGCCTCACAGCTCCAACAGATCAGCCTCCATTATAGGGGACGTCAGGTCTGAAGATGAAATATGAACATAAAGCTCCTCCATGTGTAGCGGGCAAAAAAAAAAAAAAAAAAAAGGGGCGTCAAGGGCACGCTTCAAAAGTAACTTTATTTGTCCCACCCTGTTGTATTAATAGGTTGCTTTTTAAAGTAATAGTTCAGCTTAATTTATTCAAACTGAAGATAAAGTTTCAATCTTGTATCACGAACGCTAATATTTACTATTAAGCTGTTGCATGCCAAATATTTGGAAAGTTAGTGTTTCAAAACAGCTTAATTTTCCTAAAGTTACATTTTTTTTCCAATGACATGCCTGTGAAACAGTTCAGTTCTCTCCATAATAACTCAGTTCTTCCCCTCCTCCACATGTTGCCGTGTCACTGCCAAGCTAATTGAAAGAGGGTTACTCCACATTATTCTGTTTGAAGAAGATTACTTGAGTTACTTAGAAATATCTAATGTTGCAAAAACATAGCTGGTCATGTCACGCAATCAAGTAGACCTCTGAACACTGAAGTGTGTTTTAAAGGTAGGCTTCAGTTACATGTGAGCTGTGAGCAATTTGCCTGTTGAGCAGCGGACTGCAGACTAGTACCTGAAAATGATAGCCTGACTCTTTGTGAATCTTTAAAGAGCAGAGCTGGGAAAATATATGCATTGTGTCATGAACACGTTTACTTATGCTTTTAGTCATATTGACAACTCAAAGTGCAATTGAGTCCTGTTTACCTGTCAGCACTGTCAAATATTCATACACAGACACAACTATAAATATGTGTGTCTTGCTGAAGGACTCTTTGATGGGCAGTATCAAAGAGTCATTTAAAAAAAAAGAAAAAAGTAATGTTTTGACCCAAGTTTATCATACAATATTCAAACCAAGTCTTGATATGTTAATATAATGCCAATGATTGAAATTTCGAACTGTGTAAGGCGGATGCAACAAAAGCTCTTGGTGCCGTTGTCGCTGCGTAAATCATTTCAGATCTAACTGCCTAACAAGATGTTGCGACACAAACTCTGTTTGCACTTTTTAATTGAAAATGTGGCGTTTGTAAAAGTATGAAAGGATTTCTTGTAAAAGTCAAAACAGAACAGGTTGTCAAAGCTGTTTAGTGCAACTAGTGAATGCAGACCTTGGCACTGGTGCCAGCTCACAGACATAATTTTAAATGTCACACTGGCTTTGAAGTTCACTGTCATTTATAAAAAAGAAAAAACAAATCTTGTGCTCTTTGAGAGAGCATGTGCACTTGTTTTACTTTAGAGAACCTCTTCCAGATTTGTAAATATTTTTTGTGGCTCTATGAATATATTTTCCGGCATTGCTGCAGTCAGGATGGCATTGCTCCGCGCATTCATGTAAAAAGTCATTAAAAATATTTCATTCCTTCTTTCAACCCACTTTTCAATTATTGCCTTTTTAACAATGGGTTTTCCTCTGATTACTCCAGTCAGCACAGGGAGAATATGTTTTGGTTAATTTTTTTTTCAAAAAAAAAAAAAAAAAAAAAAAAATAGCATCAAGCACATACAACTGGGCTGCTGAGTTCTTCTACCTGTTTGATTTCATTGTGATCTGGATGGGTTGCAAATCACAGCAATCATAGATCTTTTTTTTTTTTAATTGTGCTTTTGTCTTTATAATTGTCTACCAGTAGTTCATTTTTGTCCTCTGTATTTCTAAACTTGAATATCTCCCACTCCCTGCATTCTACTGAATTAATTCATTTTGGTATCTGGAGAGGACATTTAGGGCTTTTAAATGATACCACGTCTGAAGGGGTGGGGCTTTTGTACGTACCTTTTTCTAATTCATAAAAATGGCGTTCATCAGTAATAACACATTTTAAGGGAGGAGACAAAGTAAGTGCATAAAACCTTTTATTACCTTACAAAGACTGTGGGATTTTAAAAAAAAGGTGATTGGACAATATATTTTTTTTTCCTGGTTGGCAGGGAGGTTAATTTACTCTTGCACTTAATGGGCAATTTCACTAACTGCATTCTCTAGGAAAGGATGTTCTCTGCCTTGAGTAGCATTTAACCCTGTTGGCAAGCGCCGTTTTCCCCTTTTGCTGCAGTACATAGTGCAATGGGATGTAGGGTTTTTATTGGTCTCCGCTCAAAAAAAAGAAAAAAAAAAAAAAAGGTTGATATGGGAACATAGCTTGCCTGACTGACCTGAGTTGACTGGCACATTTTGTCCCTGACAGCAAGATCCAAATGAAGAAGGAATGGCAGCAAAAAAGGACAAGCTTGTTGTTATAGGTGTTCACAGCATGGCATGTCTTTTGGTTTCTCAGTGTTTCTCACTTTTTCAACTTCTCTCTGCCAGACAAATGTTGGAACAAGTTCAACTGGAAAAGGTTGAAAATCATTGCCACATTATGTGGCGATGTTCACCGCAACACGCTTGTTCATTTATTGAATATTTTGCCTCTGCTCGGGTCATACAGTTGAATATTTTCCTACTAAACATTACTAAATATGTTCATTTTAGCGCTGCGTGAATCACGTCACAGATACACTTCTTTTTCCCTTGAGATTATGAGTAACTTGAAGTTAGCCGATTAGAGCAGAGGTCTTGATCTGACTAAACTATGAGTCATGTGTCAGAATCATTAATGACTGGATCTGCTGCTTCCTGGCCCTCCAACCTGCTGTTTGAGGATGATAGACAGACTCACTCCCAAAAGGTCTCCTGTGAGAAGTTCAAGGGATATAAAAAAAAAACCTCACTGGTTCCAGAGAATATAAGATCAACAAGAATAAGACCTTTGCAGACTGAAACAGAAAGGGAAACATACTTAAGGGGAAGTGATCAGGAAGCATGTGGTGCAATGCACACTAACCTCCTCCCCCTTTCAGTTGGGTTAATACTAATCCACTGGTCATGTGACCAAGAGCTTTCAGTCTGGTCTAGGGCAGGAGTGCTCTGATCCATCTGTCAAATAAGGTTGCTGATTGTTGGCATTCACAGTGTAAACTCCTGTCCAGTGACCCCTGCCCGGCTCCGCATGAAACTCCGCTTTGATTTCCATCAGTCAAATAATTCTCCATAGTATTGTCACCTTGTGTATAAGTTTCCTCCCTCCCCTCCCCACCTGTCTCAGCGTCTCCTCTTTAATTCGATGTTCGCCTTCTGTGACTGCCTTTGCCTAATTTTCACCAAGTTCCCTGCGGTGAACTGAGCACCGGTGCGGGTTGATGAGTAGGGAAGTTATGGTCCCTACGATAATGCTGTTGTTAAAATGACTATTGCTACAATTTTTTTCTACCTTGCTTTGATTTGATTTACTCCTGTGTGAGGGGATGCTAAACAAAAGTCTGCTCTCATTAGACTCAGAGTAGACAGCATCTGAACTTTTAATGTTTCATGTTTACACACATCTCATCTGTAATTTTATAGAATCTTCATGTAGTCATTTTTTCCCCCAACTACACTTAAGAGAGGCACTTCTTCAATTTTTTTTTTATTTCTAATGTTCTGCCTTGTGGTTCCATAAAGAAATATCTTCACATGCACAGCTGAGGAAACAAACTTATTAGAAATTGTCAGAAAATTCATAAGGAGCTATGGTAGAGGAGATGTTTTACTCTGGAAGGCCTCAGATATTTTTATTTAAATCTTTGACCTCATAAAAATAATGTTAGGTCAATTTAAAGTTGATTCCCAACATAATAATTGTTCTAAACGTATTACGAGGGCAACACTGAACAACTTATTGAATATTTTATTAAAGCCTAAGGCTGTGAGTCAGCTCTCTGCATTAATTGTATGAATGAGTGGCTTCATCTGTGCCCTGAAAAAAATAATGTGGACGCTCTAAGAAACGCAAGAAAAAGGAGTGAGACTTGAAAAAGCACAAAAAAAGTACTCAGCTGTCAATGTTGTTGAAAAGTGGTGCAATTATGGCTCCTGTGCTTCTAAAGACTCCCTTACAGTGAAATAGACAGAAGTACATCATGATACTTGAAATATTCACGTCTCAGTGTCAAAAGGTGGTGAGTGTGTGCAGTTGCATTGTCTTTTGCTCTCCAGATACAATGACACTGCAGGTCATGACTTGGTGTAGGTGACCAACCAGCCTAGTTTTGAATCGATGCATTTGTCATGTAATGATGCACCAGAAAGTAAATTTATATTTTTATTCATTGGTTTGATATAGCACCAACCTCTTTAGTTCTACTATAAAACTTTAAATACTTTTAATAAATTTTGCATTAATCAAAGATTTGTTGGCGAGTCAAGCCTCTAGTGCCGACATCGATTCTAGCTGATTCTCATTTATCTTAAAACAACATTTAACTGTGTTAAAAACAGATTTTTTTTAGATTAATGCTGGAAGATTCCAAGTGTCATCACTTATTCTATATTAACTGATGACAGAGGCAGTGTG